GTCCAGATACAGGAGAGAGCCACAGCGTAGGGGTTAATCAGACATGGCTAAGTAATTCGGCAAGAATTAATGTGTTTACTTTGGTAATCCACTTGATGAGAATTACTTTGTCTATTTTGTATATTAATTCACGTTCTGATTAAAAAACAATTTACTGGTACCCTGACTCTGGAAGAAGACTACAACAGGGAGACTGTGTCTAGGAGGTGTGGGAAGGTGATACTTGTAGAGGGGACGGGAAGCAGGAGGGTTGGGCAGATGGAGATGCATTCCTACATAGGCTCAAGGACGCCTCAGTCCATCTCACAGGGAGCTCAGAATCTAGCTTGGTCACTCAGTTTAGTCACTTACTGGGGCAAAGGGCAGGACTGGATACTCTGTCCACATAGTCATTGAGTGCATGCCATCACGAGAAAACAAGTCTTGAGTGAACGGAGTGGACGGAGTCCAGGGATCAAGACTCGTCTACTGGCACTGCTCCCAGCCATTCGGGAACAAGTGCTCCAGGCTGAAGGGTGATGGTGTGGCCGTCACAGCATCCACCACATTGAAACGAGGGGGTTACAACTAAACAGAAGGACTTTCTTTCCCCACCTTTGTAATTTAAAAACACATATTAAGGAATGAGCCATCAGTGGATTCCTTAGGGCTGTGAAGGAAGAGAGTTTTAGGGGAATAGTAGGCAGGTGGGGAAGGAGGGCAGGGCTGATGCTGGGCTGTCCTTTGATTCCATCAGCAGGGGAGATGATGGGAAGAGTAAAAAGTGACTGGCAGGACTGGGAAGTGTGTGGGATCCACCAAGAGTCAGTATAGCCTTTGTAATTATTTCCTTTAAAGCAAACATTTTTAGTGGTCGTCCCAAAGCTTAAAATGTGCGTTTAAAAATAATCTAAGTCTGTCTTTAAATAACATCCTCTTTATGGGGGTGTTTCCAATTCATTCTCCATCTTTCTGACAGTCCTGTGAACCATTTATTCATATGCTATGACCACTGTATACACTGCATTATTATGTCTTCTTTCGTTTTATCACATTTATTGTGCGTGTGTGTGTGCATGTGTGTGTGTGTGTGAGCGTGTGTGTGTGAGCGTGTGTGTGTGTGTGAGCGTGTGTGTGCGTGGTGTGTGTGAGCGTGTGTGTGTGCATGGTGTGTGTGTGTGTGTGCATGTGTGTGTGTGCGTGGTGTGTGTGTGTGAGCGTGTGTGTGTGTGCGTGGTGTGTGTGTGTGTGAGCGTGTGTGTGTGCGTGTGTGGGGTGTGTGTGTGTGAGCGTGGTGTGTGTGTGTGCGTGGTGTGTGTGTGTGCGTGGTGTGTGTGTGAGCGTGTGTGTGTGTGTGGTGTGAGCGTGTGGTGTGTGTGTGTGTGTGTGTGTGTGCACTATGCGCTGTAGCGTGGGTGTAGGGGTCAGGGGTTCGTTCTCTTCACTATATGGATCCTGATGATCAAACTCAGGTCCTCGGGCTTGGTGGCAAGTTTGCTTGCTGAGCTGTCTCACCAGTCCCAAAGTCATCTTTGGAGCATCAAGGATAAGAAAAAGCGTGTGTGTGTGTGTGAGCGTGTGTGTGTGTGTGAGCGTGTGTGTGTGCGTGGTGTGTGTGTGAGTGTGTGTGTGTGTGTGCAGTATGCGCTGTAGCGTGGGTGTAGGGGTCAGGGGTCGGTTCTCTTCACTATACGGATCCTGATGATCAAACTCAGGTCCTCGGGCTTGGTGGCAAGTTTGCTTGCTGAGCTGTCTCACCAGTCCCAAAGTCATCTTTGGAGCATCAAGGATAAGAAAACAAAAGACATCATTTTACTCTCTTTTGTATTGTTCTGTGTAGATCCGAGTTTCTGTTGCACTGTCTTCTCCTAAAGAATTGTTTCCCCCACAGAGTAAGTCTGCCGGCAATGAGCCTGTTTTGTCAGAGAGTCTTTTTTTTTTTTTTTTCCTTTGAAGGAAACTTTCACTGGATGCCGACATCTAGGTTGGTAGTGTTTCATTTTCTTCCAGCATTTCAAATATTCTACCCCATGGAGACAAACCTGCTGTAATTTGTATCTTCATTTTTTGGAGCCTGTGGATTCCTTCAGGATTTCTATTGTTAATTTGGAGACAGGCTTGGCCATCGCTATTTCAAGTGTTTCTCCTGTCCTCTTCTGGCCTTACTTTCCTATCTGTTTTATACGTTTTTGATACTGTCTTATTGTCTTTCTTACTATGTCTTTAATTTCCAGCATTTCTTTCTAATTCTTTCTTTTGGGGGCAGTGGGGTGAGGGCTCAGACAACCTCACTATATAGCCCAGGTGAGCTTTGATGGCTAGGGATGACAGGCAGGAATTCCACACCCAGCTCAATTCTTCCGTAAGTTTCCATCTTTCAAGTGACATTTCATCTGGTCGTGTCTATTGTTTAACCTTCCCATTGTGTCTGTTTTCATCGAATTACAGCTATTTTAAATTGCCCGTGTAACAATAAATAAATAAAATAAATAAATAAATAAATAAATAAATAAATAAAATAGCCTGAGGCCAACATCCAGATCATGAGTGTGGAAACAGAGTGCCTGGTCTCTTTAGAGTCCATCTTTTCTTGCCTTCCGGTATGACTTGTTATTTTGTTGAAAACTAGATCTGAAGTCATGTGACTGTCTTTAGTGAGAAGCATTGTGTCTTTACTATACCTGTAAATACGACAAGCCAAATTCCTCCAGGGCCCCTAGAATTTCCTTTTCTGTTCCTCCACAGAGAAAGCCTGTGTCTTGCAGTTCCCTCCCTCTCCATTTTCTGTTCCTTTAGTGGAGACTTGGTGCACATATGTGGTGCAAGACTGGAAGAGGGGGAGGATTCTGAAATGGTCAGACTCTAAGTGGGCCTGTGTCCTGGGAGTCCGACAAACGTTTGTTCCTCCTCCAGGGGTCTCTCTCTTCCCATGATTCTGTTCTCCTGTTATTCCTGGTCTGCTTCCTTGATGACTTTCTCTCTATTCACTATGGATTCTCGCCTTAGGTGAGGCAAAGAGGACTGGGGTTATAGTGTTCTCAGCCGGTGTGAAGTTTCAGCACTGCCCTGAGAAGAGGGCCTTCCCACAGGGAGAAGAATCTACGGGTTCCCTCCTGCTTGGCTCCTCAGCTCCTGCCACAGGCTACTGGCACTCGTGGATAGACTGTGTCCCCGTGCCACCCTGTTGGTGGCCGGAGAATGTTTCTCACAGTATAGGCCACACTCAGCCTCCAGTTACATACCACTTCAGTGTTCTAATGGTGGCATTCAGCAGCAACTGCCCTGAGAGGCTTGAGGCCAACTGTTCCAGTTTGATGGGCGTTTGCCCTGTTTGGATAGACCCAAGGAAAGTCACCGACGTTCACTGTGCAGCATTTCCTGTTGGGAGGACATGAGTAGTGACCTCTAGGCACTTTACCTGTGGGAGCTGAACACATGGCATTGGTTGGTTAGGGTTTCCTACTACTTGGATCACAAGCAGGTTCAACGAGGCTGCTTCGTGGGTCTCCCTGTCCTTGAATTTGGATGACCAAAAGGAAACAAAGACTCCAGTGTAATTGGCACTCACACACAGTGACTGCTGAGGTCCATATTTCTACAGGTTTCTGAGGAATAAATGGTTCATACTGACAGGGGCAGAAATTTAAGAGCTGAATAGAAGCACTGTTGGACATGAAGACAGAAAAGCTTGATTAGAGTGGGGCAGAGGGGCATAACAGTCAGAACTGTGCTTGGAAGTGTTAGGCTGTGGCCAGACTACAGTGTCTGAACTGAGGACTGGTTTATTCTGCAGTCAGCAGGGGGTCAACAGAAGTCAGAAAAGCTTAACAGCAAACACACGAACAATTAGCCTAGCAGGAAGAGCACTGAATAGAGTGAAGGTGCTGGGCTGGTACCATCACTCAAAATTTGCTCTGAATAGATGAAGAGGAGAAGCAGGAAAGCCATCACCCACCCCCTTCTGCAACGCTTAAAAATATTTTATTTTTAATGTGTATGAGTATATTGCCTACATGTATGTAAAGGGCACCTGTGTCATGCAATGCCCAAGGAAGTCAGAAGAGGGTGCTAGATCCCCTGGAACTGGTTGTTACCACCATGTGGGTGCTGGGAATTGGACCCAGGTCCTGTGCAAGAGAAGCCAGTGCTCTTAACAGCTAAGCCATCTCTCCAGTCCCCCTGAAATTTTTTTTGAGACAGTATCTCTCTATGGCATCTACCTCCTGATTCTCCCGTCTCAGCCTCCCAAGTGCTACGTTTATAGCATGTGCTACCATGGCCACCTAGGCTACACAATCTTGTAATAACAGAATCAGAAACTTGAGAGGTGAAGGCCAAGGGTCTGGTGTCGCATGAACAGTCTGGGAGGCAGCCAGAAGTCACAGCACATCAGGGCTGGAGTTGGATGAGACACTACACTGAGGCCAGAGCTGGAAGCTGGTGCAGATGTGATTTCTGGGGTGAGGACCTCCAGGGTACAATTAGAGGGTGGAAGAACAGAAAGCCAGTGACAGGAAGCCCAGCCGGAGAGCAAAACCAGGAAGAGATGCAGGGAAGACCAGAGACACTTCATTTTCCTTAACTTCTGTCTTCTAGGGACAGACCCCAAAATGCAGATACACAGAGTCAAAAGAAAACTGTTCCCCTACAGCCTGGGCATAAAGGACCTGCTTCCTGTGGGTCAACATGGGTTTGTTTTTAATCGTAGAAACCGCTGTAAATGTTCCCTAAGAAACAGTTCACATTTGTTAAGTGTCTCCATTCATGAGACCATGCCTATTCCTGGAATCCAGCCAGGCAGCTATGATCTGTGTGGCCCATAAACTTGCAAAGGTAGTCAAATGCAGTGCGTGAGGTTAGTGTTCTCTCAATCCGTGCACTCTATGAGCTCTGCATGTGTTTACATACGTTCTCTGTATCACATGTAAAACAGTCCCTCAACATCCAGCGGCTTCTCAGACTTTGAAGTTGGCGTTTAAAGAAAATACCCAGAAAATGTCCTCTATAGTAACCAGTTTTCATCAAGTTTGTGAAATGTAACTTTATTCATTAACAGAGGGCATATGTCTTACCAGACACGCTGCCTTAAATAAATAAAATCCCAGCATCATTAAAACCACACAAACACAGTTTTACAGGGTACGATACAAAGTTGATTTTTTAGGATGTCTGAACCTGCACTCACTAAACATCTGAGAAAGACTAGATTTCTCTCTCCCCAGTCACCCTGCACCAAGAGGAAAGCAGAGCGCATCTCATGGGTTCGGAAGAGTGATTTGAGAGGACTTTGCTTTGAAAAGATAGTAAGGGATACTACAAATCAGATCACGTCTGCAATGCTACACACGGAACTGCACGTAATCAAAGAGCAGCGGGGCTCCAAAGGCTGACCCCCGCTTTCCTGACACTCGCTAATCTCTATTTTTGGCATGAGTTATTAACTTTTTCCATCAACAGGAAAATGTGCTCTGCGAACTCCCGGATGGCCCCACGGCCACCAGTGCTTCTGCAAATGTAGCTGACTGCCTTGTGGGCCCCGGAGCAGGCGTCAGCAGGCACGGCGCTCAGGCCTGCTCTCTGCAGGCATTCTTCATCGGACACTTCATTCCCTAGGGGTGAGGTAAATGCAGCTGAGTGTGGAAGGAGACAGAGTTCTAGCAAAGCCACAACCCCTAAGTACTGGTACCATTAGTAAAGGTCCAAGGCCTGCAGAGTGCTAATGATCAAATGGAACACAAGACAAAGGCTTTAGACCAGGGCTTTCCCCAGCCAATTAGAAACAAGCTCTGACCACTATGGTGGAGACTGGTGCACACCATCTGAGGGCTGCGTACATTACAAGCAAGAGGAACTCTGCATCTGAATCACAAATGATTTCAACTTTTTGCTAAGAAAAATTTCCAAAACATACAAGGGTCCCAGGGTGCATGCTTAATAACCACCAGTCCTAGATGATTGAATCACTATTTTTTCTATTCCCTACACTCTAGTTTTCTTGGAGATAGTGAGGAAGGAATTCCCAGACATAGTATTTTATCCAAAACCTTTTAGGCATTTATGTGTGATTGAAAAAATAGTTTTCAAATTGACACGATACTATCAAGCCCACACAATTAATGATTCCTTAATATCATTTAGTAACCTATCATATGGTCAAGTATCACCAACTGTCTCAAAACTGTCCTTTTGCGTGGGGGTGGGATGTGCACATGTGTGTGGCAGTCAGAGGTCAATGTCAGGTGTCCTCACCACCTTATTCCTGTCTTTATTGTGTGTGCATGCCAGTGTGTGCATGCCACAGTGTGTATCTGTGTGCATGGAGGTCCAGTGTGTGCATGTCTGCGTGCCAGTGTGTACATGCCAGTGTGTGCATGTGTGCATGGAGGTCAGAGGACAACTTGTGGGAGTCAGTTTACCCCCTTTACCATGTGGGTCTCGGTAACTGAATTCAGGTTGTAAAGCTTTTTTTAGGGCAGGGTCTCTCACTGAACCCCAGGCTTACCTACTGGCTAGACCAGCTGGCCACTGAGTTCCAAGGATCTGCCATTTCCTCCTCCCCAGTGCTAGGATTACAAGGACAGGGCCACTCTGCCTAGTCTTTTACATGCATGCTGGGGATCCGAACTCAGGACCTCATGCTTCCACAGAAGCACTTTTCTAACCAAGCCATCTCCCCAACCCTTCAAAATTACTTTCTTATTTTGAATTTTTAAAAAATCAGGGGCCAAAGTCCACAGTGCATTTCATTAGTAAGAAGTTTTTTTCAATCTGGAATAGTTCTGATTTGTATGTCACAAACCTATTTGTTGAAAAAGCACCATTTTGAAGGAATTAAATGCTAAACCACAGTGACAAAACTACCCACCTCTGCCTCCTTTTCCCCAAACGCTCTTTAGACAGGAGAAACATCAGTGACTCCTAAGACTTTAGATTCATTGTTCTGAGCTTAATTATCACCACAGTTCAGACCAAACACCACGAATAAAATTCTGCTTAATCAGAGCGTCTTTCCTATCTTTTCAATGTCTACCATGGATATGTTTTCCTCTTATAACTGAATAGTCTAAAATCTGAGTTATTTTTACTGAAAGATGATAAAATCAGCATTTCTCTACATAATCCTATCTTTAAATTTTGTAAATAAAATTTACTTATGAAGTTTTAAGAACCAGGCTGGCCTTGAACTCAGAGATCTGCCTGCCTCCACCCCCAAGAATGCTGGAATAGAAGGCATGTGTCACCACGCCTGGCTCCATACATATTCTTGATAGGAACATTTTCTTTTCTCTTTTTTCTTTTGAGATAGGGTCTCTCTGTAGCCCTGGCTGGCCTGAACTCACTCTGTAGCCCTGGCTGGCCTGAACTCACTCTGTAGCCCTGGCTGGCCTGAACTCACAGAGATCTGCCTGCCTCTGCTTCTTGAACATTTTCTCAGACTGCTTTTCTCTTACAAAACTGGACCATTCTACAACCAAAGCTCTGCTGAATTTTTCCACACTGGATCTACATGTGGTTCAAAAGCTCTTCCAGCAAATACCAGACCACAGGCTCACAGGACCTGGAAATGTATTTTGTGTGTGTACCGTAATGGGCTGTCACAACTGGACATCAGAGGCTGTCAGCCCTGAAAGCACGGTGTTTATGGTTCTTCAACTATTTCCACGCCTAAGCACAGGAGGCACCTGCTAACTATAACAGCTTAGCACTGAAGTGAAAACCTCAGTCACCTCTCGCCATCATAAATGCAGACCTCAGCACTGGTTAATGGCTGCAGTGTTCCATTTCTTCATTTTTTGAGACAGGGTCTCACTAGGTAACCCTACCTGGCCTGGAACTTGCTATATACACCGGGCTGGCCTTGAATTCACAGACCTCTGCCTCTCCAGTGCTGGGATTAAAGGTGTAAGCTACCATGCCTAGCCAAAGAGAGGCTACTTTTTGCAGACTATTGCAGGATTTGGTAAAATTTTTTCAATTTCTATCTTGGAATTGCAATTCAGAGGTAAAAAGCAAATAGTAAAATGGATTCCTCTGTAACAGAAACTGCAGGTGCTCTACCCAGGTTATATTGTTAACACCTGTAATAACCCTAAGGCATTATGTACTCCTGACATCTCTAGCTTATGGAGGAGGTGACATGTGGAACTCTGCAGTAGGTGTTGGTGGGTTAGCCTGACACATACCATTAAAAGTAACTTCCAGAAAAGCTGTTTTTTTTTTTTTAACCTTTATTTGTATGTGTGTGTCTATGAACGTGGGTGCATGTGTGTAGGTGCACGTGTGCCATGGCACTCGTATGAAAGTCAGAGGACTGTCTTGGGGAGGCTGTTCTTGCCTTCTGCCACATGGATCCTGGGGATTGAACTCAGGTCACCAGAACTGGCAGTAAGCGATTTACTTGCTGAGCCGTCTCACCAGCTCAGACCTGGTCTGCAGAACGAAAGTAGTCCCATTTCTCTACAATTATTTGGGGGAATTTTTCTTTCCCTTAAAATATTTAAAAATTTTTATTTACAGGCTGGGCGTGGTGGGGCATGCCTTTAATCCCAGTACTTGAGGGGCAGAGGCAGGTGGATCTCTGAGTTCGAGGTCAGCCTGGTCTACACAGTGAGTTCTAGGCCAGCTGAGACCCTGTCTCAAAAAGACAAAAAATTTTTATTTACTTATTTTTATGTGAGTGTTTTGCTGCATGTATGTAAGTGCACCATGCGCATGTCACAAAAGGTTGTCAGAACTCTTGGAACAGAACACAGGTCCTCTGCCAGAGCAGCAGTGCTCCTAACCACTGAGCTGTCTCTCCAGCCCCCAGTTAAGGGCAAATACTTCTGAAAAGGCAAGCAGATCTTAGGTCTGCTTTCCTGTGGCTGGAAGCAGCCGATACCAACCCAGATAGGCCACTTCTTTCCAGCACAGGCCCATTTCCTTCCGCCACTCGTCTACGATGGCCAGCTTGTCAGACACGCTGACCTCCATTTTGCAGTCCAGCTTTAAGGAGGAGAGTGTCTGCTTGGAGCAGGCCCTCTCTGAGATGAGCCTCACCTGGAGGAGAAGGGTGAGGTTAGAGGGGAGGGAATAGAAATGCTTCACAGTCACAGGAAGCAGACTATTCAAGCCACAAGCGAGGTCCTCCTGCCTCCCGCAGGTCCATCAGGAAAACCAGCTCACAGTCATCTTAAAACAGAGCTGGCTGGCTGTATTCTAATTGTCCGGTAAAGCCGAGACATTCAGGTGTGAAAGACAGCATTACTGACACGGAGACTGCCCTGTAACTGCCTGATCAAGAGCTAATCAGCATCCATACTTGGGATTTCTAGTGAATTATGGACCACAGCTTTGTTCTTTCCCTATACTGCGGACTGAATCTAAGGGGTCATGTACACTAGGCAAGCGTTCTACCAGAGTTCGAGCTCCAGCTTCTTTTTTGTAGTAAGACAGTGTCTCACTGAGTTGTCCGGTCTATCTTTGAACTCATGATCCCCCTGCTTCAGCTCCCATGTAGCTGGGATACAGGCTTGTGTCAGCGGACCATTCATTGAAAAACACATACTTAAACATTAAGTTCTTTTGAATTATGAACTTAATTCACAAAAAGAGGCTCTGTTTAAAACATCTACAAGTTGTTTGCCCCTTTCTAAATGCCAACAGCAGTTAAGGAAACCTTTCTTGTTCTAAGATCCTGTGGGAGATTCTAGGTAGCTTCTCTTTAAATAAATGTGTTTAAAATGTGATTAAGAAACATTTACTAATTGAAAAATTCCTATATTATTCTATATGGCATGACAGTTTCTAGGCACATGATAATAAACTCTATTTCAAATATTTTAAGTTAATATTAAAAATTTAAATCTCTGTATTCCTAGCATGCTGACCCTGAATCAAAATCCTCAAAAATATTACTACATTCAGGAAGCACATACCTCAATTCCACTTTTCTTTAATAAACTGATGCCAATAGCATCTTTCACATCATACGATATGATCTCTTTTTGGTCACCTGATACATAAATGTGGCCATCAGTGAGACACCCATCAATATTGCACACCAAGAGTTTTATCTCCTTGAGCTTCTCTTTGCCAAAGTAGCCAAATCTAAAAGATGCCAAAACAGAGCTTTGAGTACAACGACAACACTAAACACTCCCACTCACCTGGTCAACCCCCACCCCCATCACTCTCCACACACACGACCGACAGGGCAAGAGCTCTCCATAACCAGCACCCAGCACTGCTGAGCCAGATATGGTTCCCAGGTCACCTAGCGAGTCATGTAAAGGCATATTTCACTCGCACGCGCGCACGTACGCATGCTCATTACAGAGATCCTTAGATGTTTATACGACCTCAAGTCAGTGTCTAGAAGCACTAAACACATCTACTAAAGCCAGCATTCATCTGGGGCCCACGCTGGCCAAGTCTAAGTTGATCTGTCTTTACCTGAGCACCCTTTGCTCTGCGATTGGCCAATCGATGTCCACATCTATATCCACACTATGCTCAGCTCGCATTTCATAATATGCCATTTTTCCACCCTGAAGATCAAAGAAATGTTGTGAGCAGTGGTCACAAAGCTGGGATTCATTTCTACATTATTGAGAAAATAATCCAGTAAATGACGAACACACCGCAAAGGGTTTTTACAAATAAAGTTCACACAGAACAAATGGTAATTTTCTGACTCTGTCTATACAGTACAAGTTCCCCATTTTTCTTTAAATAGACTTCTATATTTTTTTGATCTTTTTGAGACAGGGTTTCCCTGTAGCCCCAGCTGTCCTGGAACTCACTATGTAGATCAGGCTGGCCTTGAACTCAGATATCCGCCTGCCTCTGCTTCCTGACTGCTGGGAGTAAAGGTATGTGCCACCTTCTGTTTTAAGGTAAGAAATGCAAAAAGAATGCCCATCCTGGCTCTGACCACAAGTACCCTTCCTAACCCTGCAGATGCCCCCTTCCCCTGGAAGTTTCCCTACTGCCGTCCAAGAGCAGCACCCAGATTTCAGAGCTGTGGTTCCAATTTCCCACCACAGGCAGGTGGGGTGCACATCTGCAGCCTCTGCTGGGCAGACTGCTGCTGTCCCTGAGATGCATAGTGGTATTGGCTGCCTGGGCTGCATGCGGGTCAAGGCTGAGGTGGACTTTGGGGCAGAGGAGAGGAGGAGGGGCCTTATCCCTGATACAGTTCTCTGAATGACCAGGTCAATAATAGGGAAATTTTATTTTTCAAAATTGTGAGTTTTCACAGATCTTGTTACAATGAGCAAAACAGATTTTCTCCACACAACAGGAAAGGATTAGAACAAAGTTGTTGTTAGAAGAGTTTTGGGGAGAGTAGTGTCTGTACGTGTGAAATCTAATTTCCCTGAACATCAGAACTTCCCAGAACGGCTGGACTTCTGTTCATCTATATACTGGCTTGAAGCCTAGAGAACAGACTCCTTTGTCCTCAGGGCAGGAACCACACCACAAGTTCTGCACCCAGTACTGTGCACGCCAAGCACGTGGACTACTACTGAGTTACACACTTTCTGCATGTGTGTTCACTTTGTGTAGGTACACGTGTGTACAGGTGTACACGAACGTCCGTGCACATGCATGTGGAGGCCTCAGGTTTGAAGCCCTCCATTCTTCACCTTGCTCACTGAGCCAGGGTCTCTTGCTGACAGAGCTGAGCATGGCTAGCAGTTTGTTCCAGGGTCCCGAGTCCGTCCTGTAAGCACTGGAGTCACAGGAGGCCCCGGTCCCACCTGGCGTTTCTGTGGGTTCTGGATCTGAACTCTGTCCTCAGGGCTGCATGGCAAGTGCTATGCCCACCAAGCCATCGCTCCAGCCTGCCTCTTTTTTAATGCTATTCTTAAATACAAGGACCTGAATCCGAATCTCCACAGTCCCAGTGAGGAGATGTTTCTGCCATGGATTGTTTCAATTTTCAGGGCTGTGTTGTCCCCTCTCTGAAATGGGGGTCGGAAGAGCTCTTCATTCAGCTACTGTGCAGGCCGCGCTAGAATAACCTATGGGAAAGTTTCCTATGGTCCACTGCCACTGTAAGTGCTTAGCAGCCGTAATCAAACACATGATGCAACTCTGTAGGCTTCAAGTATGAGAGGCAGCCCACAGGGGCAAAGGGAAAACACAGACTGACGTAATCAAGGTGACCATACAGAACCTGGCTATGTGAAGCCAGGCTGATACTCTCTCACCTCTACTAATTGGTTATTTTCTGGTTTTAAAGTAATAGAGATTATACAACCATGCAGCCACATTCTAAATGTAACCCAGAGCTGGAGAGCAAACAGCTCTGAGTGGGACACTGTGGGCACCAAGACACTGCACGCACAGTACCCGATCCACCTTTATCTCAATGCCAGGTGGGAACAGAATTCCATGTGTATGTATTGGGGATTCCCAAGATCACACTGGGGCACAGTGAGTGGCCGGGTGACAGAGCCTGCCGACCTCTGGGGGCTGACACTTGCCTCTAGAAAGCTGTCAGCCAGCCATGCCATGTCTCTGGAACTCAAAAAGGTTTGAGAGGATTTTATGAGATGCACATACAAACCTGCAAGTAGCCCATCTCTATCAAATGTCGTTTAGCGAAGTAAAAGGAGCCGTTTTCATACAATTCACCGTCCCAGTCCTGTCGGCGAGGCCGCTTCGCGGGGTTCAAGTTCAGGGGCTCAGTCACTTCACGAACTAGGAGCAAAGGCTACAGTAGCTTACATTGTAGGAATACAGACATGTTCACACAGTGACTTTACAAACAGCAAACAGAAGTAAACTCAGTGCAGGCTACTCCTGTGTCTAGACCATCACCAAAGGGGCTTCCTCTGAAGGACAAAATGGCCGTCTTTCTAATGCTGGATCTTTGCTTTTGAATAGTTAATAACAGAGGAGGTATTTTGGAAAGGAATTTGGAGAAATCGAGGTTTAAGTATTTCTATAAGCGGTACGGCTTGGGAGGCGATGCAGGTGACCTTCAACAGTCCCCAGGGCCGGAATGTGTTGCACCCGTGACCCTCTCGGTCTACTGCTCTTCATTTCTGTCCTTAGGACACAATGTGCGCATTTATCTACTGTGGGTCTGGGTGTCCCTCTGCGTGTGAGGGTGCGTCTGGGTGTGCATCCACGTGTGAGAGTGCGTCTGGGTGTGCATCCACGTGTGAGGGTGTGTCTGGGTGTGCATCCACGTGTGAGGGCGCGTCTGGGTGTCCCTCTGCGTGTGAGGGTGCGTCTGGGTGTGCATCCACGTGTGAGAGTGCGTCTGGGTGTGCATCCACGTGTGAGGGTGTGTCTGGGTGTGCATCCACGTGTGAGGGCGCGTCTGGGTGTCCCTCTGCGTGTGAGGGTGCGTCTGGGTGTGCATCCACGTGTGAGAGTGCGTCTGGGTGTGCATCCACGTGTGAGGGTGTGTCTGGGTGTGCATCCACGTGTGAGGGCGCGTCTGGGTGTCCCTCTGCGTGTGAGGGTGCGTCTGGGTGTGCATCCACGTGTGAGAGTGCGTCTGGGTGTGCATCCACGTGTGAGGGTGTGTCTGGGTGTGCATCCACGTGTGAGGGCGCGTCTGGGTGTCCCTCTGCGTGTGAGGGTGCGTCTGGGTGTGCATCCACGTGTGAGGGTGCGTCTGGGTGTGCATCCACGTGTGAGGGTGTGTCTGGGTGTGCATCCACGTGTGAGGGCGCGTCTGGGTGTCCCTCTGCGTGTGAGGGTGCGTCTGGGTGTGCATCCACGTGTGAGGGTGCGTCTGGGTGTGCATCCACGTGTGAGGGTGTGTCTGGGTGTGCATCCACGTGTGAGGGCGCGTCTGGGTGTCCCTCTGCGTGTGAGGGTGCGTCTGGGTGTGCATCCACGTGTGAGGGTGCGTCTGGGTGTGCATCCACGTGTGAGGGTGTGTCTGGGTGTGCATCCACGTGTGAGGGCGCGTCTGGGTGTACCTCCGCGTGTGAGGGTGTGTCTGGGTGTATATGCACATGTGTGGATGTGTTCAGATATATGTGCATGTGGATAAGTTTGAATGCACATACGTGTGCAGATGTGTTCAGCTGCACACATGTGTTTGCTGGATGGTGGATCTTGGCACTTTGGCTGTCACCTCTGTAGTAAGGGCTCCTGTGACTGACTTCTACTTACTCCCCAGCTAACCATTTTGCTCCAGTCCATTCATGTTTGATGTATTTCAGAATTTGGCAAATATGTTTTAACAGCTAGTTTACAGGGGCTGGACAATTCTCTGCCCTTGTGTGTGTGGGGGTACAGTGCACATGTGTGCAGGCCTGAAGTTTACCCCAGGTGTGTCCCTCTGTCCTCTATTTACTGAGGCAGGGTCTCTGAACTGAACCAGAGCTCACTGACAGGCTAGCTTGCCTCAGGAGCCCCTGTGCCTCTAAGTGCTGGGATACAACAGGCCGCTAGGCCTACTCAGCTTTCATGTGGGCTCTGAGAGCCAGAACTCTGGTCCTTATGCTTGCATGACAAATGCTTTAGGGGCTGAGCCATCTCCCCAGGCTGCTGCTAAGAATTTACCTTTAAGGCACAGGTAAGCCTGGCACTGTTAACATTTTGAGTATCATTGATCAGTGGCCACCATAATGGACGGCATACTTCTAAGGTAACAAATGAAAAGAACAAAAATGTCACAGAAAAATTTTAAAGTATTGATCAGACCAGTAACACTTTCACCAATGATCATTTCATAACAGAAATGTAACAGAACCCCAAGTCAGCTGGGGTAGAGGCCATTGGTCCTGTTACCAACCGCCCGCCCGCACCAGACGCATCTCAGGAGAAGACAGCTGTACCCAGCACTCACTCTTGGGGTCAAGAGGTAATTTTTCAAAGATTCCTAATTTCTTTAAGATGTATAAATGAAAATTACTTATGGATCTGTCATCTAGTAAATCTTTTTCTTCAGCTGATTTAACTTTAGTCAAATAGCACACAAAACCTCAATATTCAGTTTAACTTTAGGTTTTCTAGATTAGCTTCAAAATATATTTTTAAAGGTTCAGTAGAACATGTCTGTGTTTTATTTCTGACACCTGATAAGTTGAAAGTCTTATACATATAGCTTAACACAGAACCTGGTGCACAGAAAACAAGAAATATTTATTGAACTATCAACAAATAAATGCATTTATCAGTATACTCTATTGGTTTTGACAATATTCTCATTTTGAGACCGAAAAAGCATGCTTTTCAGTTTGTCTTCATCCTGTGGATACCTTTATTACTTTTTTTGGGGGGAGGACCTTCAGTTCCTCTGACGTCCCTACCATGTCCTTTAAGACACACGTTAGGGGCAATCAGGCCAACTTTCCCACATTCAGAAAATGTCCTGCCGCTTTCTGCAAGTATGCTACTTTTACTTATTTCTTAGTAACCCTCTTATTGTCTATTCTTTGCTAGTTTATCTGGCTAAAGTCGGGCTCTCACTGAACCCCGGGCACCCTGCTCCTATGCAGAGCTGTAATATGGGAGCACGGGGCTTCTAGTCCCACATTTGTCTGGAGTCGTCTAAGAAGTCTTAAGTGCCCAAGTATCTGATCTGGGAAAATGGCATGTCTACCTCATAAGGCAGACAGAAACAGAGGCTGAGGCATCTAAAGGGCAAACACCACAACAACTTGCATTCCACCATCTTGCCTCAATGACAAGTTCTAGACCTGAGCACACTCGTGTTCCCGACCGCAGCTGATCATCACACACTCCTGCTGATCCCTCTGTGCCCTCATCCCTAAAGAATATTTACATAAAAAGCAGACTGCCAGCAAAACAAATTAAAGTAAGACTTATGAGATTACCTCCTTTCTGAATCTCACTCCATCGAAACTGATGGCGCCTCACAACAGAGAAGACAGAGTCATAGCCTTCTTCCCGGATCATGTCTGCGACTTTCTGAAGGTCGGTGGGATGTAAACATGGAGACGTAGCTTGAATATTTCCTACAATGTCAACCTCTTAAGGCAACAGAAAAGACACACGTGAAAGGCGAGCTCCTGGCAATACAATGGCCACACTGAAATGTGACATGCAACATTTCATAAACAGAGCTCTAGATGACATAAAAGTTCAACAAACTAATAACACACTCATACCGTTGTGATAATTAAGGAACTCTATGATGGCATCTAGTGAGGTAGAGCTGTCTTTGGATGTTTCGGAACTTCTTCGATGAACTTGTGCACCAAACTGTTTGGCCACATTCTCAATTTCATCGTGGTCTGTTGAAACCCACACACTGTTTGGACATTACAAAGAAAGGTAAATAAATAGTCAAGTCATCTAAAGAGATCACTAACAGTAAGAAGGAATCCAGACACACTGAACACAACTGGCGAATCAGAACAGGTTTTATGTAACTGAAATAATGTTAAAAGCTGGGCCTGCATGCCTGTAATCCCTGCACTCAGGAGGCCAGCCAAGGCTATGCAGTGAGACCCTGTCTGCTAAAACCCAAACCCAAATAAACAAAAAACAAAGAACCCAAAGCACTGTAAAATTAAAAGTGACAGAGCTGTTATTTAGGTAGTTCAGACTGTAATTCTATAAGCTAGCAAAACTAACACTTAGTATTTTTAAGATGGCTGACAAGCTAAGCAAAAACAGTGCTAGAAGTCAAATCTAAAGGAAATTAACGATCCTGCTTCTCACTGCCAATAAACCAAACAAATGTATTAATCTAGTTTGTATATAAAACGGACTTGGCTTACCTAAACTATAAGGCTTGATAGGTTTTAGGCTTCAAAGAGAGTAAATGTCTGAATCTGGGCTTGTAAAGACCCTAGCACACAACTTTAAAAAATATTAGATTTATTATTTTCATTTTATGAGTGCATTGCCTGCATATGTAAATGCACCCATGTCATGCAATGTCAGAGGAGGTCAGAAGAGGGTGCTGGATTTCCTGGAACTAGAATGACAGGCGGTTGTTAGCCACCATGTGGGTGCTGGGAATTGAACCTGGGTCCTCTGCAAGAGCAGTCAGTACCCTTAACCACTGAGCCATCTCTCCAACTCCCCAACTGTTGTTAAAAAAAAAAAAAATTAGTGTAAAGCCAGGCGTGGTGGCACACACCTTTAATCCCAGCACTCAGGAGGCAGAGGCAGGCGGATCTCTGTGAGTTCAAGGCCAGCCTGGTCTACATAGTGAGTTCCAGGACAGCTGGGGCTACAGGGAGACCCTGTCTCAAAAGACCAAAAAAAAAAAAAAAAAAAAAACAGAGTGTGTGGATACATGCCTTACAACCATTGACACTCAGCAGCTATGGAGACTGGGACTTAATAACCAGTGTTCACAGTTGCCTATTTGGACTTTGTAAGAGGAAGTCTAAGAACAAAATGCTACTTTGCAAAGACTTCCTAGTCTCTACTGAAGCTTTGATTTCTAAACCTTCACAAATCCCCACGGTTAAAAACAAGACAACATAAGTTGAACCACAATGTTTTAATGATACAGTGTGGATGCCTTAATGACTTATAATCTGCGGTGTGCATGTGTTTATCTCATTCATTCAGCTTTACTGAGGGAAGGAGGGAAGGAAGGGAAAGTCTCCAAGCTCTGGATTTTAAGTTCATCTATTTGCTTCATTATCTTCAGAAAGAGGATTTAAGGGCCGGGAAGATGACTCAGGAGGCAAGAGCCTGCCATGGAAGCATGGAGATCTGAGTTCGAGTCTCCAGCACTCATAAATAAGCCGGGCACGACCATGCCTGGAACCCCAGTGCTGCTGAGGGCAGAGGCAGGAGAATCACATTTGGTGGTGGACAGCACAGTCGCAGGTTCAGAAAGAGAAGTCACAATAAGGCAGGGAATGATGGAGCAGGAACCTGCCTGCTGTAGGTACTCTGAACAGAAAACAGGACCCCAAGGCAACTTATGCAGGAAATGGTTTTTACTAACGTGCTGGCACAGGCTTTGAGAGAGAGAGTGTTCTCTAGGGCAGAACTGTGGACAAGGACTTTCTTTCAGAGCTCTTTGCCTTTTCTGCTTCTTAGGCAGACATACATTCTGACTGGTGATTTAAAATACTTTAAGAGGATACAAAAATAGCTGGAATGTGAGGAGGTGGGAACAGTGTGGCATCGAACACGGGATGTGGCAGAAACAGACATCACTTAACAGACGTTCACCTACAGACTTGCGCATACAGCACGCATGCGTGCGCGCACACACACGCACGTGGGCATTTAAATCAAAGAATAAAGTCAACAAAGACAACAACAAAAATACTTTCGTTCAAAGGAGCTTGGTAAACAAGATGGTTACAGGCTAAGGTTCGTCTACCCATGTCATGTGGTTCAAGGCAAAGCAGCCCATAGTTTTGTCCACCCCGAGCTGTGAAACAATCTGGGGTCATGTTTTTCAGCAAAAGGTGTATAAGCAAGTGAACTAACGCAACACGTTTTCACAGCAGCAAGATGGGGGAGAGCTGGAGACAGCACATTCCATTTGTGGCTGCAGTAAAGGGCTGCATAGTTCACAACGGAGCTTTCCACATCTTTTTGAAGACAAACGTCAAGGTCTGTTAGCGTGTACGAGGTCTGTTAGCCATGTACAAGGTCTGTTAGCCGTGTACGAGGTCTGTTAGCGTGCATGAGGTCTGTTAGCATGTACGAGGTCTGTTAGCAGTGTACGAGGCCTGTTAGTGTGTACGAGGTCTGTTAGCCTGTACGAGGTCTGTTAGCTGGTCTGGCTTCCTTTTTTCATTCCTTCATCCCTGAAACATTACTGAGTGCCTGTTCTGTCCCAGGCATCCAAGTAACAGCTGATAAAGTACAGTCTAGGCCCATCCCATCCTGTAATTCTCCTTAAACCATCAGGGAAAGAGACAGGAGGACCAATGAAATGACCAGGAAAGAGACACGAGAACCAATGAAATCACCAGGAAAGAGACATAAGGACCAATGAAATGACCAGGAAAGAGACACGAGAACCAATGAAATGACCAGGAAAGAGACACGAGAACCAATGAAATGACCAGGAAAGAGACACGAGAACCAATGAAATCACCAGGAAAGAGTCACAAGAACCAATGAAATCACCAGGAAAGAGACACGAGGACCAATGAAATGACCAGGAAAGAGACACGAGAACCAATGAAATGACCAGGCTCCTCCGATTTCAGCCTTACTTTTCCCAAACATTTTCACAGTTCTTGCTATGTAACAAATACTCCACACCTGTTTGTGAATCAATGACGTGGCGAGGGGGGAAGTGTGGCAGCCACCCACTATGAGGCGGTAGTACAACAGGTGGTGATGACAATACCTACGTAGGTGCCCCTTGGCTGTGGGCACTGAATGTAAACCACGTGCCACAGAATGAACATATGAAAGATGTTAGCTACTCAGAACACGGAAACAAGAACGTCATTAATAAAGAAATGCACATTGTCCCATTTAACCCTCACACTGGCTCCCCTGGAAGGAAAAACCAAGTTTTGCTTCTCGACAAATTCCTAATTTGTACACATTATGCGTACCAATAGATCTGTGGATAGTACACACGTGTTCTTAAAAACAGACCGGTCATCCTTAATAAAGGGACTATGTGAAGAGATCACCCTGTTTGGTTTAGGGGCATAAGATGAGATGGGCAAAGGAAAAAGAATTAGCAGGTGAACAAACAGGCCTAAAAACAAACTAAGAACTCCAGTAAATATCAAAGTGTAATGTCAACCGCTCGAGGTAGAAATGAAGCCACACCCCACCTAACACGATGGTCAGTAACACCGAAGTTATTTCAAATCACAAAGTACCATTTCAGGGACTTAACACAGCACAAGGTTCATGAATCATAAATCAACATGCTTAGAAATGAAACTAAAATTTATGTCTCCTTTGACCAGTGTTACAAAAGACTGAAAGGTAATGTGACGCTCACACTCAGCACTGAAGCATGGTTCAAAGTGGGTATCTTAGAAGCTCGAGGAATAATCCTCTAACGAAGACATCCATCTCAGCACTGTGTCGACTGCTAACTACCCTAGGTAGTATGTAAGGGTTAGCAGGCTGGAAAAGTACCATTAACTGATTACGGCAGGCGGGTGGGCGGGTGGCCTGCCTTCACCATGTCTGGCTTTGATGAAATACTCTGCAGGGTCTTCTGAGCCTGAAGAACAAGTCAGGCAGCTCCAAGGTTCTTTCAGCTCCTCCTGGGGTAAATATTTGTTGAAGGGAGAAAAAAGAAGACTGCAGACAGGCAGGGTGCTCCAAAGTCCTCCTGGAGTCCTACCAAGCCAATCCAACCTAAATCTGTACATGTAATTGCAGGTCTAAGATCCAATATTACCAGGTTCAGAATCTCCTTAGCAGACGTTCCCACCCTCAGCTGTGCTGGTAACATTTCACTTGAACATGGCCATGGCCAGACTCCTGCAGTCATCTATCACATGGCCACCTTCACTACCACAGACCCAGGAAGTCACAATAGAGGCCCTTTGGTCTGCAGGGCTGACAGCACTCACTATCCTGCCCTTTATAGAAAAAGCCTGCTGGAAACTGACATACAGAATAAAGACATGCTCTCAGTAACTGTTCAAAGTCAAGGACTGTCAGGGCCAGAAGGCATTTCAGGAGGACTGTTAATTTCCCATTTTATAAGCAAGGAAACCGGTCCTTGGACGAGATAAAGACTGTTTCATAAGAACAAGGAACTCTCAGTATTAGATCACCTATCTGGAGGGTCAGGCCCTGTTCTGCGGGCTGAGCGTTTATTATGTGCTAATCCTCCTGGCAAGCTGCTCGGGTGCATGCTAGGTCCTCTGCAGCTGAGGAGACTGAAGTACAGAGCTAAGGACTGTGTGGTCAACTACATGAAGCTGGAATTTCAGCCCGCGGTATGGCTGCAGGGCCTACGACCTCACCAGCCCACACTACTGGCTCCAAATGAAGGCATGAACAGCAATGCTAAGCATGGGAAGGCAAGGAGGGTCACAAGATCTGCAAGGGCTCCTGTGGACACAGTGCTCACCCCTTCCATCAACTCCCTAGTTAAATTTCAGGTCCACAAAGGATGCTCGGCAGTCACAGGTATTTTAAGTTAGAGAAGGCAGAGTCAAAGATATGCTCATGTTGCTGGTCAAGTGAAATGAGGTCTCATTTCCTTGTGACCTGTGGGTAAGGGTGAGGGCGAGGGCCTGTGCTCTAGGGAAGGTCTGACTGGCACAGGAGATGATGCTTTGGTCACTCTCAACAGGATTTCCTATAAGTGCATTTTAATAAGCCAAACAAGAAATTCACATCAAAATTCCAGTGCTGGGCTGCACACACGGCTCAGTGGTCAGGAGCACATACTGCTCTTGCAGAGGACCCAGGTTCAGTTCCCAGCACCTATAAGGGTTCCAAACCACAGCAGCCCTCCCCGTCTCCAACAGGGCCTCATGGACCTCGCAAGTCAGCACCTGAGAAAAGGGAACCGAGTTGATAAGCACCCTGGTCTCTGAAGTCAAGAGAAGCAGACTCTTCTAAAAGGCAGCTTGCTTTTCCTTTGATCTCTGAAGACAAGATAAACAGATTCCACCTTTTAATCAGAGACTTCAGGAGCCACTTCAGCATGGCAGTTTTCCCCTTATCTTAAGAGGACAAAAACAAACACATCCTGACCCAGATCCTGGCTGACAGACAGAAGGGAGCAGGTTTTACAAGTCCCGCTCTCCTGCCCCCACCAACCTTTGAAATATGTATCTTCCCACCTTCTGCAACCCCCAGAAGCCTCCCCCTATAAAAGACCCCAGCTCACGACCCGGGGCAGACATTTTCCCTGCCTGGAAGGGAATCTGTCCCATGTGTTCCTTTGCTAATAAACTCTATTCTGATGGAGTTTTATCTGTGTCCTGGTGCTTTCTCCCAATCAACCGGATTCATCCATTGCCTACTTTACCTATCAGCACCCATGTCTGGTGCTCCACGGGGACGTGACCCTAGCCTCTGAGGCATCTGCACTCATACCACGACCCCCTCTATTACTAAAAATAATACGTTTTTTCAAATCTTCAATGTCTGCTCTCACTTTTTGTTGGGTTTTTGACTCTGACAATCCACCCCACTTCCAGGAATCAGACTCCACATGCTTCAGTAGGTCCCATTGGTGGCTCTGAGTAGAAGACGCTGAACTATCAGAATACGGGAACTGTGCTCGGCTTCAGGGACTGGTCTGAGGATGAGCAGAGAACCCAACGGGAGTACTGTTAAAGTTTTGAGACAAGCACGTCTCTGTGACTACACTGGAGCCTAGAGTGACAGGAAGAGTTGCTACAAACCCAGATACCAGTTAGATGGGGAAGAACACGCTGGACTTACAACTTCTGCAATAAGGAAAAAAGTCTGTGTGAATGGAATTCAGGTTCCCTCAAAAGAAAAGCCTGAAGGATTTTTATAGCTTAGGGTGTGTTAAGGGAGAGGCTGGAGATGTTCAACACCACTCTAACGAGGGGCATCTGGATTTAGGAGCTGTGCTTATGGAGAGAAACAAGTTTTTGTCTTCAAGATAAGTAGCACATGTGCAAGTTCAAGCCCAAGACACCCACCAGTGTTAGGTGCTTATCTTCCCGAAGGGACTGTGAAGAGAGGGAAGTTACGACTGCCCGCCCCCACAATGTCTGCAGTTCCCTGAATGGAGAGGGCATAAAAGTTCCTGTAACTGGAAACTTTCTAAGGCAGCTCTCTAAGAGGGGCCTATCGGCCCGTCCCATCTCCCCTGGAACAAATGGTTTATTTTACTTTGCTGTACCTTCTCAGGAGGGTATGTTAAGGAAGGACCTGGATCAAACCTAGGAATGTGGCCTTAAGCTATGGTCAAGTCTGTCTGGGGCAAAGGTTCAGGGAGCCATGCAGAGTCTCAAAGTTCTCAGTACACGCAGCCCACATCAGAATGGGCGAGCCTACCCTGAAACAAGAAAGCAAAGATTCTCTGACAGAGTGCACGCCCCCGGCCCTGCTCTATGATCCTAACATTACTGATCTCCCCCCATACCAGATGTATGCATGTGCATGTGTGTGGTCCATCTGTTATTCTGTTGTGACACACACATTAACAACTGGACAAAAGCTTGATTTGGATTCACCTTCTGAGGTTTCAGTCCATGGTCGCTCAGGTCCATCTCTGTGGCCTGTGGCCAGCAGAGTACTGATGGTGGAGAGGAAGGACAGGGAGGGGCCTGGGATTAAATGGTCCCCAACAATATGCCGCAGGTGATCTACTTCTTCCAACTAGGTCCTCCTCGAAAAGGTTCCCCCACCTCCCAGTAACGCTATCAATTTGGAATCCAACGGATTAATCCATTGGTTAGCCCTTTGGATCCAGTCACCAGGGATGGAGACTTCAACACCTGAACCTGTGAAGAGCCACTTCACACCTAAACCCTAAACCGTGAAACCCTCTGTCTTTGCTGCAATGGAAATGCCACGAAGCAGGTGAAACTGGTGATGACTGGGTGAGCCTGGCCCTCCACTAGCAAGTCTGTTTTCCACTGTTTTGGCCTCGCCTCATTCCTGATAATTAACCAATAGAAGCAGCTTGGCCTGAGAAGAGTAAAGCAGGACATCAAAGAACCATACCAGCTGTGCCACCACCTAGTCGGTAGGCTTTCTTCAGGTTTAGGAGGTCCAGGAATGCCTGGTGACATGTGGACATCAGAACAAGGCCAGGAGGACTGCTGTGGGAATTGATGGCCTTTCAGTGCCACCTGACCACAGCAAACTTGGAGCCTTTACACTGCCACCCTGGAGAGATGGAATTGGGGTGACTGCCTGCCACCTTCTTCCTGCCGTCTTGTTCCAATACATCGTATCACCGGTGGCTTCAGAGGGGGCAGCAGGACTGGACCGCATATGCACGGACCCTACTGCTGCTCTTATGGGCACAGAACAGGGTCTGCCACATAGCAGGTAGACTGTATTCCCTGCAGGAAAGAATCATTGTTTTGTCCTTGAATCTAATGTTGCACCTAGAAGATTTATCCTTTGTGTTCCTGTGAGTGCCACAGGAGTGGAGACTGGAGGACAGCCCAGGGAATTGACCCTCACCTTCCACCGTGTTTGAGACAAGTCTCTCTTGGTGCCGTCTCCCAGGCTAGCTGGCCTACGGGTTTCTTAGGATTCCTCTGCCTCCACCTCCCATCCTGCTGTAGAGGCAGTGGAATTACAGATGCACTAGTCCCATACCTGGCTTTTTAATGAATGTTCTGTGAATCACACCTTGGGCCCCCACACTGAGCCATCCCCTCTGCCCATTACCTTTTTAAAAGCCACTTTACAAGTGGTTTTCTGACATGTCACCCAAGAGTCATAAATGATCATTTTGTTCTCAATCTATGAATGAGTACCATCTCTTTCACAAATATGAAATTTTACTATATGACAGAGGCCTGCATGTACTTAAATTCTTCTCACTCCTTTGTACGTTTTCTGTGAAGCTTAAAAACAAAAACCTGAAGTCCACCCGGACTAGAACCAAGCATGGACCATCTTTCTATTCCTTGCAAGGGTACAGCAAACACGCGCTCAGGAAATGTTTACAGGACTGAACCAAATCCGCGGTGCCCCTCTGACACCCTATCTCTCTTCTGCACACTTCCTATTACGTTATTTCTGAGTGTCAACTTCTACTTGCCCAGCTCCACCCAGAGCTCGCTTTGGGGTTAAAATGGTCAGAAAATTAACAACTTCATACCTTTTGATCCTCACTTAAAACTAAGTTGGTTGAATGAAAATCCATTTACTCATAAAATGAATCATTAATTATAAATTAATAGCCCTCAAAAAATAATCTTAAAAATCCAAACAGCAAAAGGTAGTCATAACAAATTCAAGTGCAACTGGGTTGCACCTAGTATGTGTAAATTCGTTCTTGGCAGAAGATTTCATCTCCCTCCTTTGATGAACGGCATCAACTTGCAACCCCTGATCAATGTGGCAGATGCCACTATCTCTACTTGAACTGTTGCTGGACAAGCCGCAGTTCAAGAGGTAGGATAAACCCATTCACAATCACGTACAGCAGCTTGGCTACTGTTAAAGCTCACACACGCAGGGTGCTTTCCGGATTGTGCTGACTCACAAGGCTTCAGGCTGGAGTATTTTTTTTTTTTTTTTTACCTCCTCAAAGGTGACGAAAGGATCTCCAAGCTGACTCCAACTAGGAAGCCCTGACTCTGGACTCCATTCACGCACCTGCCACCTTCCGGGTGGATCAGCACCAGGCAGTGGAGGAGGTGAGCACCAGGGGCGGCTCCCGTCTACACGGGGTGCCCCGCGTCTACACCGGCTCCCACCCCCAGAAGCTGCACCCCAGTGCCCCCTACCCCAGGACCCCTGGGAAGCTGACAGCTGCGGGGCCGCCCCCCTCCCCTCCCCGGGTGGCACTGTCAAGGGCACGGAAGGGAGCAGCGGGTGAATCGGGAAGGGCCGCGGCGCTTCCTCCGGGCTCAGCGCCCGCCCGCACCCGACCCCAGCCCAGGCCGCCCTCCCCCGCACATGCGCACCTCTGGAAGACCCCCGAGTCCAGCGCCGCGCGCAGGACCCAGCCAATGAGCGGAACCCCCGCCAGGTGCTTGATGTTCTTCAGGGGGATGCCTTTGCTGCCGCCCCGCGCCAGCACCAGCGCCGCCAGGTGCGGCGGCTTCTCCACGCTGCGGGCCGGGCCGCCGCGGGCGTTGCGCTGCAGCTTCGGAGGCCGGCCCCGGGAAGGCCGCCCGCGCGGGGCGGACACCGACGTGGCGGCCCCCTTCTCCGCCGGGTCCATCTTCCTCCCACGCCTTCGCCCCAGCTTCTCCACATCCGGGAGCTCGGCACCGCCAAGTCCGCGCGGCGCCGCCTCTCCCCGCCCGGGGGCTCGCTCGTCTCCGCGCCTGCCGGCTCGCCCCGCCCACGCCCCGCCCACGCCCGCGGGGCACGCCGGGAGTTGTAGTCCGCCGCGCCCTCCCCGCCGGCCTTAGGTACAGGTGAGCGCCCAGAAAGACCCTGGAGCCGAGCCCAGGAGGTCGCGCCCAGAGCGTTTGCAGGAGGCCCGATTTGTGGGGTGCTCCATAACGCCTGGAGATTTCTAAAATGACCAGGGACTCTGCTCGTTCTCCTCCTCCCCTTTTTCCCCCTCCTCCCGCTCCTCTGCCGCCTCCCCCTCCTTTCCCTCCTCCTCCTCCCGCTCCTCCTCTGCCTCCTCCCCCTCCTCCCTCCTCCTCTTCCTCCTTCTTCCCGCTTTGCGTCTCTCCTCTTCCTCCTCCCCTTCCTCCTCCTCCTTTTCCCCTCACCTCCTCCCCCTCCTCCTTGCCTCCTTTTCCCTCCCCTTCCTCTTCCTCTCCATTTAAGACAGGACCTTGCTCTGCAGCCCAGGTTAGGCTTCAACTTCCTTTTATAGCTCAGGTTGACCTGGAACAGATCTTCCTGCTGAAGGAGCTGCCAACCTCAGCGAATTAGTTATTTCTGAAGAAGTTCCCCACTTAAGAATTGTATCTCCTTTCTCAGTGCATACTGTGGAGGACCTTAGCACGAGTCAGTTCTGTTTTAACATATGTTAAGCCTACATCTTTCTCATATGCTCCTGATTCACTTTTTTTCCTTAAGAAATTACCTCATTCAGATATACTATGGCTGCCTTAAACTAGATTTTTTAAGCCACCCACTCCCATGGTCTTGACTATTCTGTCTTCTAATCCAGTCAATAGCATTACTGTTTACCCAGTAGGAGAAACTTAGAAGTCAGCCTTTCTGGTCTACTCTAGTGTACAGCCTGTCTGTTCCCTATCAATAAAATGTTAATTTTTTTTTTTTTTTTTGTCTGCTAAACTATTTTCCTTTGAGAACTTGTCGCCTCTTTGTTGGTGTGGTACAAATACACATTCTTTGCATTGTTAACAGTGTGCAACCAAAGTTGGCCCTTGAGGTACCCTGTTTTCCTGAACATGGCTGTGGTATGGGTGTTAGATTTTTGGAGAATAAAAGGAGAGATAAAGGAGTAGGAAACGAGGAACCAGAGCCAGACCTGCAACAGGTGAGGAATCAATCTTCCTGTATTCAAAGAAGACACAGTGAGAGGTAGAGGCTGTCTGTGGGACCAAGCTTCTACAACTAGACAGAAAACGGGGGTTTTATACCAGGGTTGTGGGACACAGCTGCCCTTAGTGGGGAGTTGAGTTAGTGCCTGGGCTTGGTGTCCTTGGAGTGATTGAAGGTCTCCTCAAGATCATTTCCCCAGAAACTGGTGGGAGTGTTATCTGTGGCCTTGGAGGAGACAGGTTGGGCTCCACAAACACTTTCTCTCAGGCTTGGGAGTGACCAACTGATAAAGGGTGAGCAGAGCCAGGCTTGAGCAAGGCCAGGCTGCCAATTAAGGGCCGGCCAGTTAGACATTTAAGCGATTTATGGATTTCCTTAATGAGGCTTGTGGCTCTTCTGCAATTCACACGTTCTATCAATGGGGTTGGACAGGCAGGGCTCCTGGAGTTCTTTACAGACACCAGTCAGGAGAAAAGGTCTTTTTCTTGTGAAATTTTTGGCTGTTAAAGGACTGGGGAAGTCTGAAGCCTTGGGGTAAGGAGTGGAAGGAATTTGCTGTTCTGAAAGGGGAGGGAGACTGATGCTCAGGGAAGGAAGGCAGCCCAAGTTGAAGAGAGGAGAGAGAAAGAGCCCCTGTGACATCATCTCAGCCTCTTCACTGAGCCAAGAAGTTTCAGAATGCACTGCCTCACTGACATCTTTCTAATAGACTTGTAAGTGGGCTAACAGGAAACACTCACTGTTCTTTGATGTTTTCTCAAGTTTGTATGGTTTCCAGAGGAACCAGAGGTGGTGTATGGCCCTCCTTTCTTGAATGGGTAAAGGCCTGAACCCTTCATGGAAGAGACAGCAAGCTTCTGGGTCCTGTGACACAGATGGTGGTCCAGCCCTTTCTGGGATTGGTTCTGGGAGAAGGTGTGTTGAACAAGCAGGGGAAGATGGCTGTGAAGACTTGCATGTGGGTCTGGAGGAGGAGGTGGGCTCTGTGAACCATCCCAGCACTTCGTCAAGTGAGCACTTGTCCCCTACCCATTGGCTCTTCCAGGAGGACCTTCTGCCATTGTGTCTAACACAACACTGAGCTTTGGGTAAACATCTGAGGATGCCCGCTGCTTCTTAACCCGCCCCTTGCCCTTCTCCATTCCAATCTCAGTTTCCATCAATGATGTAACTGCTCTCCTCCACATTCTCTAAGGTCGTATGAAGCCTGGTAGACCATTGCCATGTGAGTGGTTTGTGTCTCAGAGTGGGGGACAGACCAAGTGCTGCCACTGTTGTGTATCAACTGAGGTTATGGCCGTTTTAATGCAAGTTTCAAGACCGAAGACTCCTCTGGGAGAGGAACTGTTCCTTCTTTGTAATCTCACCTGGGACAGCACAGGGGCAGTGTTTTCTCAGTAAATGCTGGTGAACTCCATCTCATACTTTTCATTCTCTCCACATGTACGTTACGTACTTCTTTCAGGTGTTTTACTTTGATTGAAATCATATCTGCCCCTCCTCCTTCTCAAGGATAGTCTCCTTTGGTCTAAAGACAGAATGGCTTCCTGGAAGAGGAGGTGATATCTTTGGGCTGCTTGGAGGAATCGTCCTCTCAAAGCACATATTCAGAGTCAGCCCTTATTTGAAGATGTGTGTGAAGCATTGCTGACAAGAGTTAAAGAATTTGTTTAGGAGGAAAAGAATGTATCCTCATAATATGTAATAAACCTCCTGTTTTATGAACGAATTTAATACATATATGAACAAAGTCTTTGTATATGTATGTGTGTGCATATGTGGCACTGAGGATAGAACCTAGGGCCTTACACATGCTACACAGGTGTTCTACATTGAGCTGTGACCCCAGTTCCCTTCCATTCATTTTTCCGTTCACATTTGCTGTGGTCCACAAGCCAGGCTTTGTGCTGTACATGTAAAAGGTTGAGCTAAGCTGACCAAGACAGGGAAGTTTTATTCTGATGGGCAGTGGAGTTGGGCTGTCAAACTGCAGTGTGATGAGGTCTGTGCTGTGGTGGAACTGTGCACCAAGGTGGGCAGTACAGAGAGAAGTGTTTAAGCTTGATGAAGTCCCTCCCTGTCTCCTTCCCTCTCTTCCTTCCTTCTGAGACAGGGTCTTCCTATAGCTGCAGCTGACCTAGAACTTCCTGTGTAGACCAGGCTGCCCCTGATCTCACAGGGATCTGCCTGCCTCTGCCTCCTGAGAGCTGGGATCAAAGGTGTATGCCACCATGCCTGGCCCTAGATGGAGATTTTTATTGGCAAGAATACTCTTGAAAGACGGTAACATGTAATTATACCATAGGCAGAGAAAGCAGTGTGGGTGGCAGAGGCCCAAGGAACAAAACAACACAAAAAATTGGAAAACTTGAAGTAGCCATTGTGATCAGCACATAAGATACTGGTTGGTAAATCTTGTTTTTAAAAAAGGCAGCGCAGGGGTGCGGGGAGGGAGAGAGGTGGTGGCCAGAGAACTGGCTCAGCAGCTAAGAGCACTGGCTCTTGCAGAGGACCGGGGTTTGGTTCCTAGCACCAGCATGTTGGCTCACAACTATCTGTGAGGATGGGGGACCAGACTCCTTCCAGTCTCCACAGGAACTGCACACATGTGGTTTACACATAAAATGAAAACAAGTCCTAAAAATAGTTTAAAAATATGAATTGGGGGCTGGGGAGATGGCTCAGTGGTTAAGAACACTGGTTGTTCTTGCAGAAGACCTGGGTTCGAATCCCAGCATGCACATGGCAGCTAACAACTGTCCGTAACTCCAGTTCCAGGGGATCCAACAACCTCTTCTGTCCTTTGCAAGTTACATGTTGATAAACAATCGTCCAGTAGAAACTGGAGCCTTAATGACATACGAGGAACTCACCAAACCAACTTCCTTCATTATATAATGGAGGGTGAGAACTAATTCTAGGTGGCAGGAATGTCCGGCCTGAAAACATGAGAGAACTTGAATTTCATAGGGACAGAGCTACAGAACTGGCTTCTCAGAGACCAGATTTAAGGCATCTCAAACCGTAAGCAGTTCTGGCCAGCCCTGAAAAAAGACTGCATCTGGAATATGACCTTGTAAAATGGTGACTTACTGTTCATTACTTGGACTGGAGAGATGGCTTAGCAGTAAAGAGCAGTTGCTCTTTACTTGAAGAGGAAGCAAGGTCAGATCCCAGCATCCACATTGGGCAGCTCACAGCCACCTGTTTATTCTATCCGGTGCCCTCTTCTGGCCTCCACAAGTACCCAAATTCACACATACATACACACAAATCTTTTGTAAAAATGCTCATTGCTTCTATGACAGCAATGGGGAGTGGGTATTTTCTAGAGGCCTCTAATCATACTGTTACTTACTGAGAACTTGGTTAAGCACCTTTCAAGCCACTGGCCTTTGACTGTACCTTTTCACATTTCATTCTTTACAGGGACCCTTAAACACTTTCCCTCCGTCATCCCATATTTCAGGTAAGAAAACAAAGCCTTGTTTAGAAATGCGTAACTACTGTTCAGATCAGAGCTGGAGAGTGCTTCATATGAGATCACAGTGCATCCTCAAACTCTAGAAACTGTGTTCTAAATTCCGAGAATGAGAACCTGTGTCGAATAATACCATACTTAAAATCTGACGTGATAGAGGAAGGAAGGTACAAAGGCACCCCCAGACTGAGTATATAGGGTCGCACAAGAGATAACTCCAGGTCACGTTCTCTTCTTTTGGGTAAATGAGGTCTTTGGAGAGGATAGAGCAAAACAGATAGAAACCGTGAAGCCTCAGAGCCAAGACCAAGAAGATATCCAGTGTCGATAATACTGGACGCTTTGCCCAATTCCTTCCTAAAAGAAGGTCCATGGAGAACTCTACTGCTCTGTGAG